GAAATTTTTTATTAAAGAATATTTTTCTATGGTATTGTGAATAAGAAATTAGGAAAATGGGAAATGAAAAAAACAAAATAGGATACTTTTTCTTTTCCTACCTCCCTTCCATTTGTCCACCTTTTACTTTCTATTTAAAGTAAATTTGACAATCTAAATTCTATTTAAAATTTAATGATTTCTCCTTTAACTTTATATCCTTTTCTTTATTATACATATATAGAAAAGAGAAAAAAATTGAATCACCCCAGTTTAACTGAAAGCAAAGAATCTACAACAAAAGACAATGATGAGTAAGTTTGTTATTTTTGAAATTATATACATGTGTCTTGCAGGAAGATGTTCATATTTGTTAAAGTGACCATTTAAAAGCATTTATTTGTAGAAATTAATAGTTTATATGTAACCTGAAATATTATTTCTTAAAGAAGTAAAATACCTTAGTTGTGATGTGATTTGTGATATTCTATAATGGTTATATATGATGCCTTAATTTTAATACACATTGAGCCCAGTTCTCCCAGTCTATGCATAATAGACCAGCTCAGGGTAAAATTGAGGAAGCCACTTATTTCATATTTATACAAATGGAGAAATAATACATAGTTTAGGAACAAAATGTCTAATAAATAGCTGGTTCAAGATGGAACTAGAAACAGTGAAATCAGCAGAGTAAGAGATCTAAAGGATCTCTATTGGATGCCAGCAACCAATCATTTTTATATTGTCCTACTGGTGGTGCCTTTGAATTTAGACATTATCTGCAGAAAGCTGCTGTCTACATAGGCAAAGCCTGGGAAGAATACAGATGGCTCTCCATATCTGTGTGTTCCACATTTGTGAATTCAACAAATCACAGATTGAAAATATCTCGAGAAAAAAATGAATGGTTGCATCTGTACTGAACATACACAAACTTTTTTTCTTGTCACTTTCCTAAACCAATTCAGTATAACAACTATTTATATAGCATTTACATTGTGTTAGGTATTATAAGTAATCTAGAGATGATTAAAGTATATGGGAGGATATGCACAGGTTATATGCAAATACTATACCGTTTTATATGGGGGACTTGAACCTCCATGGATTTTGGTATCTTCAGGAGTCCTGGAACCAATTCTCCACAGATGTTGAGGGACAACTGTATTTGTATCTTCTTCCTGGAAGAATTGAACTAAGCAGAATGGGGGTTAAATTTTCAAAGTAGTGCATATGTTTGTCTCATTTACCATTTCAGTGTATCTTCTTCTATGTACCACACCCTATCATTGACACTAAAGAATAAAGATAAGGAAAATGAAGTTTCTCCCCACTGGGAGCTTATGATCTTTTTTTTTCTTCCCCCCACCCTGAGACAGGGTTTCACTCTGTTGCCCAGCCTGGAGCACTATGGTGTGATCACCATTCAGTACAGCCTCAACCTCGTGGGCTCAAGTGATCCTCCCACCTCAGCCTCCTGTGTGGCTGAGACTAGAGATGCATGCCACCACGCCCTACTAATTTGTGTAGTTTTTGCAGAGACAAGGTTTTGCCATGTTCCCCACACTAGTATTGAACTCCTGGGCTCAATCTATGCACTCACCCAGGCCTCCCAAAGTGCTGGGATTACAGGTGTGAGCCACAGCATGCCACCTGGGAGTTTATGATCTTATGTTGTAAGTTAGTATACCTTCCTCAATTTAGAAAATGGGTTATGTTTACAAATGTTTTTGGAATAATTTACATGGAACTCAGAATACATTTTCCATGCAAATAGTGTTATAATCTGTGGTTATAGCCCCAAGTCAGGGCACAGATCTATTTATTTCATAACATAGCTGAACGGTAGTGTTGGTAGTAGTCCAGATTAAAATGGAAACTAAGTGCCATTAAAATACCTTAGGGACAAAGAGAAGAGTTTTTCAAAGAAGCCTCATTGTTTGGCATCTCCTACATCTATCCTTTATTTGTTTTAAGTAGCTGTTCATGCTGCTCCTCCAGCTCCAAATATTTGCATGTTTGTCTTTTCTGCCCCACAAATATTTTTGTTTTAAATTATTTCTTCCTACTCCTAATCAAAGCTTTTGTTTCCTCAGTGAACTGATCTCAACTAGATATTAACAGGAAAGCATTCTTTTTTGTTTAACTTATTTAATGTTTTTTAATATAGGAAATATATGTACATAAAAAATTCAAATGGTACAAAAGGATATACAGTGAAAGCAAGTATCAAGTAAAAATTTATAAATCATAGATAATCTTGTATTTGAAAGCAGGTGCCTATTAAACCAAATTAATTTCTGAAGCAGTTATATAAAGTATAAATAGGCAGTAAAGGAGGAAACGTTTTTGGACAAAAGTGATACCAGTTAAGCAAGCTTGTTGTTTTTCAACCTGAATCAGCTCCACTTAAACTTAATAGTGTCTTTCCTTCTTTCTTCTTGTAAACCAATCAATTTAGTTAGAGCTCAGCTTTTTAAAACGATAGCTCCCATGGCAGTGGGCTTCAAGGAGCAAGGGAAGAGCAAAAACCATTGTTATGAGTCACATAGGAATTTGCCTTCCTTTATTTAATTTATTAATTTCTCTCCATATTTGTTTCTAAAGATCTCTATTATTTAAGTATATCACTCCATGAGTTGGTGTTATAATTAGTGAATTTAAGTATGAGCTGCAATATTTTACAACATATAAAAATAATGGGCATGGTGTGGTGGCTCACACTTGTAATCCCAGCACTTTGGGAAGCCAAGGCGGGCAGATCACTTTAGGCCAGGAGTTCTCCCTGTCTCTACTAAAAATACAAAAATTAGCTGGGCGTGGTGGCAGGCACCTGTGGTCCCAGCTACTCAGGAAGCTGAGGCAGGAGAATCACTTGAACTTGGGACAGGGAGGTCGCAGTGAACTGATACTCTGCTACTGCACTCCAGCCTGGGCAACAGAGCAAGACCATGTCTCAAAAAAGAAAAAAAGTATTTCTATCAGGAGACTGAGGAAGGAAGATTGCTTGAGGCCAGGAGTTCAAGGCTATAGGGCACTATGGTCTTTCCTGTGAATAGCCACTACACTCCAGCGTGGGTGATGTAGTGAGACGCTGTCTCTTTTAAAAAAAAAAAAAGGAAAAGGATGCATTTCTTTGTTTTTTTGGTTTTTTTTTTTTTTTCAGGCAGAGTCTTGGCTCGGTTGCCCAGGCTGGAGTGCAATAACACAATCTCAGCTCACTGCAACCTCTGCCTCCTGGGTTCAAGCTATTCTCCTGCCTCAGCCTCCTGATCTCAACTGGTATTACAGGCAAATAGATAGGATTACAGTTGCCTACTACCATGCCCGGCTAATTTTTGTATTTTTAGTAGAGACGGGGTTCCGCCATGTTGGCCAGACTGGTCTTGAACTCCTCACCTCGGGTGATTCACCCACCTTGGTCTCCTAAAGTGCTGGGATTACAGGCATGAACCACGGCACCCCACCAGGGTGTATTTCTGATTTTTTTTTTTTTTTTTCATTCATAAAATTACTCAGTCCTAGCTAATAAAGCCATTTTTAGCTCTTACTAAAGCTAAAAATAGGTTATTTATTCCATTTGTTTCTATTTCTTTTATTTTTTAAAACCACTGCCTAAAGACTTGGATTTTTCTTTTCTTGAGAAACAGAATCATGCTCTGTCGCCCAGGCTGGAGTGCAGTGGCACAATCATAGCCCACTATAGCCTTGAGCTCCTGGGCTCAAGTGATCTTCCTACCTCAGCCTCCTGAGTAACTAGAAATACAGGTATATTAATACATGTGGCTAATTCTTTTACTTTTTTGTAGAGATGTGATCTTGCCATGTTTCCGAAGCTGAACGTGCACTCCTAGGCTAAAGCAGTCCTCCTGCCTCAGCCTCAAGACTTGGATTTTTTAAATCCCAAATTAAATGGAACATTACCAGGCACAGTGGTTCATGCCTGTAATCCTAGCACTTTGGAAAGCTGAGGCAGGCAATCCGCTTGAGCCCGAGCCCAGGAGTTTGAGACCGGCCTGGGCAACATGGCCAGACCCTGTATCTACGAAAAAAAAGTTTTTAATTAGCTGAGTGTTGTGGTACACACCTGTGATCCCAGCTACTTGGGAGGCTTAGGTGGGAGGATCGCTTGAGCCCAGGAGGTTGATGCTGCAGTAAGCTGTGATGTCACTGCACTCCAGCCTAGGCAACAGGGTGAGACCTCATCCCATTCAGTCAATCAGTGAATCAGTAAATAAACTGAACATTTCACATCTGTAGATCAGTTTTAAATGATCATAACATTTTGTTTTGTGTTAGCAATATTCTCATTTTTTTCCTTATAAAATGCCATAGCTAGGAGAGATACCAGAGAGGAAGCAAGGCATCTGCTTCTAGAATATTTCCTGTAGCTTCAGTACTTTGATGGAGCCACTGTAGATTCAGTGTTTGATCCAAACTATACAAATTTAGAAACTCACCATGAGTTGTTGAAGCATAATGAATTAGTGAGTATGAATCAGCCTCAGGACAAACTGATGTACAATGGAAATGCCATATTTTTATGAGAACTTTATTGATATCAGTAGTTTTCTCAAGGTAGCCTCTTCTGAAAGTCAGTCTGTTCCGATAAAAAAAGAATAAAAGTTATTTAAAGATATTCCACAATCTAAGAATTAGAGTAAGATGTTTCAATGAATATCTTCATTTAGCTGAGTTAGTTGTATATATCCCTTTCTGTACAAAAGATAGTGCTGTTATTTGTTATCAGTATGGGAAAAATTTAATCTGGACCCTTACCTCACACCACACACAAAAATCAATTCCAGGTGGATTGGAAGTCTGAATATGAAAGGTAAAATAATAAAACTTTTAGAGGACTCGACCTTAGAGTAGGTAAAATGCCAACCATAAAGGGAAAAGATTGATAAATTAAACAGCTCTGGCGGCGCCCTCCGCCTCCGCCCGCACCTCGCTAGCGTTCCCCTGTCCTCCCCAACACCCCGGAGCTGCCGGCCGCTAGCGCGAGCGCCAGCCAGAATTAAGGAAGTTCACTGGAGTAAAATGGAGGCCTCTGTAATATTACCCATTCTGAAGAAAAAACTAGCCTTCCTTTCAGGAGGAAAGGACAGACGGAGTGGCCTCATTTTGACAATTCCATTATGCCTCGAGCAGACAAATATGGCTGAGCTGAGTGTCACCTTAGACTACCTATTCAGCATTCCAAGTGAGAATTGTAAGGCTAGAGGATTTACCGTCATTCTGGATGGCAGAAAATCACAGTGGAATGTGGTGAAAACAGTAGTTGTAATGCTACAGAATGTTGTTCCAGCTGAGGTGTCCCTTGTTTGTGTGGTAAAGCCAGATGAATTCTGGGATAAGAAAGTAACACATTTTTGTTTTTGGAAAGAAAAGGATAGACTTGGCTTTGAGGTTATTTTAGTGTCTGCCAACAAATTGACTCGTTATATAGAACCATGCCAATTAACAGAAGATTTTGGTGGGAGTCTTACCTATGATCACATGGACTGGTTAAATAAGAGGCTGGTTTTTGAGAAGTTTACAAAGGAATCTACATCATTGTTAGATGAACTTGCTTTGATTAACAATGGAAGTGACAAAGGAAATCAGCAAGAGAAAGAAAGGTCTGTAGATTTAAACTTTCTTCCATCGGTTGATCCTGAAACAGTTCTTCAGACAGGGCATGGATTGTTATCCGAATTACAGCAGCGTCGATTTAATGGCTCAGATGGAGGGGTGTCATGGTCTCCTATGGATGATGAACTGCTTGCACAGCCACAGGTTATGAAATTATTAGATTCACTCCGAGAGCAATATACCCGCTACCAGGAAGTTTGTAGGCAACGTAGCAAGCGCACACAGTTAGAAGAGATTCAACAGAAAGTGATGCAGGTTGTGAACTGGCTTGAAGGACCTGGATCAGAACAACTAAGAGCGCAGTGGGGCATTGGAGACTCCATTAGGGCTTCCCAGGTCCTACAGCAGAAGCACGAAGAGATTGAGAGCCAGCACAGTGAATGGTTTGCAGTGTATGTGGAACTTAATCAGCAAATTGCAGCACTCTTGAATGCTGGCGATGAGGAAGATCTTGTGGAACTGAAGTCACTGCAGCAACAACTTAGTGATGTTTGTTATCGACAGGCCAGTCAGCGGGAATTTTGGCAAAACCTCTTACAGGCACCTCTTGAATTTCATGGTGTTGCCCAAGATTTGTCTCAGCAGTTGGATGGCTTATTAGGGATGTTGTGTGTAGATGTAGCACCAGCTGATGGAGCATCGATTCAGCAAACTTTAAAACTGCTTGAAGAGAAGCTGAAAAGTGTTGATGTGGGATTGCAAGGTTTGCGTGAAAAAGGTCAAGGTCTCCTAGATCAGATCTCCAATCAGGCATCCTGGGCCTATGGAAAGGATGTAACCATTGAAAATAAAGAAAATGTGGACCACATACAAGGAGTGATGGAAGATATGCAACTTAGAAAACAAAGATGTGAAGACATGGTAGATGTGCGAAGGTTAAAGATGCTTCAGATGGTGCAGTTGTTTAAATGCGAAGAAGACGCTGCCCAGGCAGTAGAATGGCTAAGTGAACTCCTGGATGCTCTGCTTAAGACCCACATCAGATTGGGCGATGATGCTCAAGAAACGAAAGTTTTGCTGGAAAAGCATAGAAAATTTGTTGATGTTGCACAGAGCACTTATGACTACGGCAGGCAGTTGCTACAGGCTACAGTTGTGTTATGCCAATCTTTGCTCTGCACTTCTCGATCATCTGGGGATACACTTCCTCGGTTGAACAGAGTATGGAAACAATTTACAATAGCATCTGAAGAGAGAGTACATAGGTTGGAAATGGCTATTGCATTTCTCTCAAATGCTGAAAAGATTTTGCAGGACTGTCCAGAAGAGCCTGAAGCTATTAATGATGAGGAGCAATTTGATGAAATTGAAGCAATTGGGAAATCACTTTTGGATAGATTAACTGTTCCTGTAGTTTATCCTGATGGAACCGAACAATATTTTGGGAGTCCAAGTGACATGGCTTCTACTGCAGAACACATCAGAGACAGGATGAAACTAGTTAGTCTCAAAAGGCAGCAGCTGAGACATCCTGAAATGGTGACCACAGAGAGCTAATAGACACCAGCTACCTACAGATTTGCAGTTCGTAATCGCGCATGTTGTCAACGTAATATATAGCATTAGCCACAACACATTAAGATGCATTTCACAGCCAGAATAAGCCTCATTTCTTTTCATGACATTTCTCTCTACATGTTAACACCTTGCTACTACTAAGGCATAATTATTTAACATGCTTCAAGGCTATAAACTCCAAGTATCTTAAAAGAAGGAACTATAAACATTGCACTGAAAACTTGCTTTAAAGCTTTATTTGACCTGTCAGTTTGTAGATGAACAACTGATAATAAGCTTTGAATGGTGCTAATAAGAGTAGGAGTTATCTCTATTTAAAAAAAAAAAAAGATTGCCCTTCCTCCACCGGTGATTTAGTAAATTTAGACAGTAGGTAAACTCTTATTAGTAGACAGTGGTGTCCTCAAAATTTTACTTTGTAATTCTTCAGAATTGATTATTTTTATTGTGTCAATATGAAGAAAACCTTTCAGATCTTTGATATAGTCATTAAAAGACCTTTTCTTATTTGTATTGATAATGTATTAAAAGTTGTTTGTGCTTAATAAAAGACTTCTTTAAACATCTAAAAAATTAAAAAAAATTTAAAAAACAGCTCTAAAATTCCTTTTTATAAAAAGAAACTTTGTAGAGTGTGAAGGTACAACCCACAAAGTGTGAAAAGATTTTCAAGACAATCCAATAGAAAAATGGGCAAAAGACTTGAATTGGTACTTCACAAGAGCAGATTTTCATGTAAACCAGCAAACATATGAAAAGGTACTCAACTGGAAAATGTCATCTGGGAAATGCAAATTAAAACCCCCATGAAACACCACTACATCCTCACTAGAATGCTGAAAATAGAAAACAAGGAAAATACTGGGTAGGTCTGGAGTGAGGATGTGGAACAAATGGAACTCAAACAGCTGGTGGGAGTATAAGTAGATGAAAACCACCTTGGAGAACTGTTTGACAACATCTAAACCAGGATATATGCATACCTTATGGCACAGAAATTCCACTTCAGGGTATATACCCAACAGAAATGTATACATGTATTTACCCAAAGACAAATACCATAATGATTGTTGCAGCCTAATTCCTAGTCACCTCAAATTTGAAAATATCCAAATGTCCATCAACAGTCAAATGGATAAACAAATTATGGTATTTATCTAATGGATTACAGTGAAAGTTATCTACAGCTAACAACAATGGCTGAATATCACAAACATAATGTTGAATGAGGAAAAAACTAGACACAAAAGGTTTCATATTGTATAATTCCATTTGTATGAAGTACAAAAATAAGCAAAACTAATCAATACTGTTAAAAGTTAGCATAGTAGTTAGTTTCTGAGATGTTGTCAGTGTTCTGTCTCCTGACCTGGGTGCTGATTGCACAGGTGTATTTAGTTTGTGAAAATTGAATGAGCTGTACACTTAGGTGTACCCTATCTCTTTTATTTCTGTACTAATAGACTCCCAAACTCTCTTGTAAATTAAGTCTTGAACAACACCAGCAATTTTTTCAGACATATGATTGATTAAGTAGATTTTTAACTTTTGGACTGCATGGCATGGTCTGGGACATTTTCTAAACTGTATTCTATAGGATATTTGTATCTTTAGATATGCTTATAAGTGTTCTTGGGGTTAAAATATAATTTTATGGTCAAATAGATATGAGAAAAGGAGCTATCTTCATCTTAAGGTTTTACAAAGCACAGTAAGTAAATGTGGGTAATAATAGCTAGTAATTATTGAGCATTTGCCATGTCTTAGGCATATATTATCACATTTAATTTTCTTAACAACCCATTGAGGTAGATAATGTTAGTGCCCTAATACAGGTGAAGAAACTGATGTTTAGAGAGGTAAAATAACAGCTGAAGCTCACAAAGCTTTATATCTAGCAGACTTCTTTTAATCATTGTGCTAGAGTAACTGACACTATGGTGTATTGTCTTATTTTGTCTGCCCAGCATCTCTTCCTGCTGGGATTAATATTCTTTAAATCACTCCTATAATGTGCTTCTTTATTTAAAGACTACCAAAGTCTTACAGAACCTTACCCTGGACAGTTGATTGGTCCAGGGGTAGGCACCTGACCTAAACACAATCAGTTATTTCACAGGATTTATAAAGTTGGAAGTAGGAAAAGATACTACCTCTCAGATGGAGATCTTCAAGGAAAGATGGTACTGGCAGCCATGTTTTTCACCATGTATTAATAGATGAGCTGGTTTGCAGTGAGAGAGAAAGAAGCCCATAGCCAGAGGGAAGAGAAGCGTTAGGCAGGGTCCTATTTATCTTCTGGCTTCTTTCTGTTGCTTCTTAAGCCTTGCTTAATCTCAGCTTCCCTTCGATTATGGAAGATACTCTAGTATTCCTCCAGTAAGTGCCCCCTTTTTGTCTTAAAAGATAAATATGTTTACTTTCAGTCATTTACCAGTAAAACAAGTTTCATACAGTGTGTAAGATTACTTCAGGGTTTCTCAGCACTGTTGACATTTGGGTTGGGTAATTCTTTGTGGTAGAGGCTGTCCTATACATTATAGGTTGCTTAACAGCATCCTTGGCCCCTACCCATTAGATACCAGTAGCATCCTTTCCCCAACACTTGTCACAATCAGAATGTCTCAGATAGTCCCTACAAGGCCAAATAACCCCTGTTGAAAACCACTAGCTTACTTAAATTCTTTTTTTTTTTCCTTTTTTTTTTTTGAGTCAAGATCTCACTTTATCACCTGTCACCCAGGCTAGAGTTGTAGTGGCACAATCAGTTCACTGCAGCCTCAACCTCCCAGACTTAAGCTGTCCTCCTACCTCAGCTTCTCAAGTGGCTGGGACCACAGGCGCATGCCACCATGCCCAGCAAATTTATGTTTTATTTTTGTAGAGCCAGAGCCTTCCTATGTTGCCCAGGCTGGTCTTGAACTCCTACGCTCAAGTGATCTTCCCCCTCTGACCTTCCAAAGTGTTAGAATTACAGGCATAAGCTACTGTGCTTGCGCCTTGAGAAGTACTGAAGTGAATAAACGTATTCAACTTGATTTAACCCAACAATTTCCCAAACATATTTGGTGGTACAAACTGCCTTTCCCCACTCATTTTCAGATAATTATGAGTATACCATGGAACACAGGTTTGAGGAAAACTGGATTAGGGTATAACTTTGTACCACCAAGAAGACATTTGTAAGTATCTCTTAGGGTCAGTTACTTCTGCTGATACTTGCTCTCATCTCAGGTCTTTGATACACAGTACAGGAAAAATAGATCTCAGCGTATGATCCCCAGGGCAGTAATAACTAAATTATGAGAAAACAGAAATAAAGCTACCACTTGTATGTTCATTAAACAAATAACTATTGTGTCATATGCTGAGGCTACACAGATGAAAAAAACCTGTTTTGTTCCTTGAGGAGCTTACAGTCTTCCCGGTGAATGGGAGATAGACCATAAATAAGTTGTCAGAACACAGCATGTTGCTGTGATGGCCAGTAGGACCTATAGATATGCCTAATACATTCTATAAAACTAGAAGATGAAAGTGGCTCATTCTTGTAATCTCAGCATTTGGAAAGCCAAGCTAGGAGGATCGCTTGAGCCCAAGAGTTCAAGGTCAGCCTGAGCAACATAAAAAGACTCTGTCTCTACCAAAAAAAAAAAAAAAAACAAAACAGCTGGATGTGGTGGCGTGCCTGTGGTTCCAGCTACTCAGGAGGCTGAGGTGGGAGGATCACTGATACCCAGGAGGTCAAGGCTACAGTGAGAGATGATGCACTCTAGCCTGGGTGACTGAGTGAGACCCTGTCTCAAAAAAACAAACAAAAACAAACCTAGAAGATAACTATATAATTTAGAAAGCAAGATGCTTTTAAAATACATTCTTAGCCAATTAGAACAAATAATCTATTTTCTGATATGAGAACTCTAAATGTTAACGATTATAAAGTACTACAAAACAAGTTTCTAAATAAATTTTCTCATTTTCAAAAGCTAGTGAATAGTCAGTTAATGTCCATCACTGGCCTGTAATCCCAGGACTTTGGGAGGCCAAGGAGGGAGGATCACTTGAGGTAATGAGTTAGAGGACAGTCTGGGCCACAAAATGAGACCCCATCTCTACAAAAAATAAAAAATTAGCTGAGCATGGTGCCATGCACCTGTGGACCCACCTACGTATGAGGCTGAGGTTGGAGAATCATTTGAGCCCCGGAGGTGGAGGCTGCCATCTGCTGGCCAAAAGAATAATGGCCTTGGAAGGGCATAAGTTTGACCACACTCTCAGTGGTTCTCACCATGCAGCTTGGAGAAGGCACGATACTCTACATTACCACTAATATAAGTAATGTTTGTAAAATTCTTACTTAATAAAAAATTTAGGACAAGCATGTCTGCTTACAGGTATTGTCTGTTAAAACTCATCTTGTTTCATGAATGCTTTGTCAGATTATGAAAGTTAAAGTGCAATGATATTTGAAGACTGTTAAGTGATGGTATATCTTGTTTCTAATAAGATGAACTTTTTTGCCTTTGTTTTATTAGGGAGTTATTTGTCAGTGTTTGAAACATGCTGTGTGATATAATAGGTTTAAAATAAATTCTTTAAAAGAAGAATACTGAAACTAGCCTTGTAGATTTGTCTGGTGCGTGTGATGAAACCTACAGCTTTATTAGGTTGGTGGCAATACCCTGCTGGCTAACTTTCAAGTGATTGGGTTTTTTAAGTTTGGCAAGTCCGTACACACTTCTAAAATTGGATTTTCCTTTGAAAATGTGTAGGGTGGGAGGAGGATGTCCTAACTCCATGTTGTGATCATATGTAGAAATACATGTGCTCAAACAGTGCCCAGATTTTTCAGTTTAATCCGGTGTTCCACATGTGTGACTGCTGTTTCTGAGAGAAGTTTCCAAAATGTCACCATTTCTCAGAACGGAATAAACCTGTTGTCAGGAGGCTTTTCTTAGGAATGAAACATGTCTGCGTTAATCTAAACAAAACTGCCTCAGTCTTCACAGTACCAAAGTTCACATGAAAGGTGAAAGCTCCAGGATCAATGCCATGACTCCATGAAAGGTGATGGATAGTAGATACATATTAAAATATGTGTCCGTAACACTAATTGGTGACCATTATGAATCCTTTCATCTGCATTTTAGGAAAAAGTAGTTGGCTATTTAGAGGTATGTACATCATTGTTAGTCAGTCTTACAGATAAAAACATCTTGGCTCACCGCACTGTGTCCACTTTCATAGGCTACAGAGAAAAGTCATGATTGGTGTCAATACAAGTTCATGTTTTCCAATCTAAAATTTTTTTAATTAAATAAAAAATAAA